CGAACTTACTCATCATTCAAGGAGCTTTTCTAGTATCTCCTTTGGGTTTTCTGACTAAAATGATTATTATCTACAGATATTTTTCTTTCTTTCCCACATGCATTCTGTTTATATCTTTTGTACTTATGACATGACTTAGGGGTTTCATTGCTTTTTAAGTTTGGGGATTGCTTTTTATTCAGAAGGCAAATCTCATTCTTTCTCTACTTGATGTTAGTATTATGGTTTTGTGGGCAGGGCTTCCTGAAGATGAGGCAGTTGTCCTAAAGCCTTTATTGGAGCAGATGTGTTCTTTTATTATAAATGAGGATTTAGTGTGTCCAGTGCTTTTCCTGCATCAGGCACTCTGATCACATATATTTCCTGTTTTGTTTATATTAGTAAGTTTTCAAACTTCAGCTGGCTTTATATCCTTTGACTAGATCGCATTTGCATCTGGTGTTCTCATTTTATATGTCGTTGGATTCAATTTGCTAATGTTTTCCTGAGGATTTTCCTGTATATGTTCATAAGAGTTATTGATCTATGGAGTTCTTAAATTTTTGTACTGTCTTTGACAGTTATGACATCATAACATGTGGTGCTAAGCATTCTCTCTTCTGGTTTTTGAAGGCGATTATACAGATCTATACATTTACATATCAAGCAAAATTCTTCAGGAAAGCATGCATGTTTAAGAACTTCATTTTTGGTTAAGTGATTTTTAAAAAATTACAAATTCAATTTCTTCAACACAGAACTACTAAGGTTATCATATAATTGATTTATGAAGGCCTGCATGTCTTTTTCATTTTAATGACTCAAAATATTATATAGGTTTCACAAGCTACTTCCACGCATGCCTGTAATGTGCTTTGAACATTCCCCCACACCTCACGACCCTCTTCTCACCCTTGACATCTCACGTCGCTCGTTTTGGTGCCCAGTTTCCCTTCCACTTTTACACCATCAGTACATATGTGAGTTTATCTATAAACTCTAGGACCCCCCAAACAAGAGAAAAGATGAGAATTTGGCCTTTCTGACTTAATTTGCTTAACCTGATACTCTCCAGTTGCACTCTTTCCTCCTCCAAATTTCAAGATTCTTTAGGGCTGAACAAAATTTTATTTTTATATCTAGCACATTTTCTTTATTCCTCTGATGCTGGACATGGGTTGGCCCCACAACTTAGCGATTGTGAACAGTGTTGTAATAAACATTGAGGTGCAAGTGTATTTTCATGGCATGTTGACTTGAATTGTTTGGGGTAAGCGCCTAGGTGTGGTATAGTATGGTCATATGGTAGCTCTATTTCCAGGGTTTTTTTTTTTTTTTGAAGAATCTCCATACTGATGTCCATACAGGCTAGTTTAGTATATACGTTATCACTAGCAGTGTATATATAAATATTCCTTTTGGTTCACATCCTCACCAGAATTTGTGGTTATTCATTTCTTTATGACTGTCATTTTGACTTGGGTGAAGTGGGATATTAATGTACTTTTAATTTTATTTCTTTGATCACTAATGATGCCCTTAAATTTTTCATGTTTATTGGCTACCGGTGTTTCATCATTTGAGAATTATCTGCCCATTTCACAGGTCTATTGGCTCATTTCACGGGCCTATTTATTGACTGGGCTGGTTGGAGTTTAGTGAGTTCTTTGTATAGTCTACATATCAATCCTACGACAGATAAGTAGCAAGCAAAGATTTTCTCCCGTTTTACAGGCTATCACTTCTCTTAATTGTTCTCTTGCTGTGCAGAAAGATTTTATGTTCATGAAGTCACTGTTTTCTATTTGATTCCTCTACTTTTCCTCCAGTTTCCAATGGATACCTTGTACATACTTTTAAAAGAATTTCATCCTTATTTGCTTATCTTTGGGGGAATTATCATTTTTGCAGCATTGTAAGTGGTAAGTCAAGGCGTTACCTTATGCAGACAAACTTAAAACAACCTCCTGTGAGGCTTATTCACTACTCTGCTCACTGAACCAAACATTCCTTTCATTTGGGTTCTTCTAGACACCTCCCTTTTCTAAGTATGACATTTTGAGCATTTCCTGTATACTCATGAAGCCCTACAAAAAGGAGATTAACGTTTTGTTTCAACCAAATGTGATTTTAAAACTCATTCACCAAGGAATAGACGATAAAGCTTCCATTCCACATTCTCTTCTTCTGACTTTCCGCTGGAGTTCCCATTCTTCTGCTGTCATTTGGGAAACTTCCTCACTCAACTCTTCTAAAGAAAACTCTTGCTGAAGGTGAAAGCTGCCACTCAAGTAGGCTTATTCTTCCTCTGAGAGGCTGTGGAGTTCCTCCAACAGCTTCGGAAGAGCCTCAACCCACATCAAGAAACCCTCTAGTCACAAGCATCCAGGGAAAATAAAACGGGTGCAAATACTTCCTAGGTCATTTTGTTGACGCTTATATTATTTTGGCAATAAGGCGAGAGAGAAAAAGAATCCCTGACTAAAAATCAGACTTCACTTGTTCCTCCTTGAACAAGTGAAGAATTCTTTTTAAAAGTTCAAATACAACTCATTATTATAAGAACAATATATTTAAAAAATGAGGGGGGTTGGAATTCAGAGATTCAAAGCTCATTGAATAGTAAATTCAGAGATTCAAAGCTCATTGAATAGTAAACATTTAAAAATATCTCACGGTTTTCTTTTTTGCATTCGTTTTCTTTTTTTTTGTTTTTTTTTTTTTT